TAATATTAGGCCGATATGGTAGAAAAATTATACCTTTTTTTCTACTTAATTTTAACGATTACTTATTTAATTGACCTAAAAAGTCATCCTGAATAAATAAATATTAACTTTATTGTAGCAATTACCTGAAAAATCTACTACAAAGTAATTTCGACTATAAACCACCAATTCAAAACCTGTCATACATAATCTATTTGTAAAATTTATATTATTTAGGTTATTTTAACAATTAGGTTGTTCACTTATCGTCCTCGTCATTATGCAAAAAATAACAAATAATAGGTACTTTCGATTTTTTCGTAAAGTCAAACGTTTTAAATCTCAAGTGACGTATAACGTGAAAAATAAACAAATTACTCTAGTCTCCAGTAAAGTGATTTGTCAACACACGTTAAATAAAAATTTACACTTAACATGGCTGAAATTTACTAATAGGATGACCTAAATATGTTACATTTACCTACAGGTAAATTTTTGATAAAACTTACAAGTTATTAATTCATTAAATAGGTAAAATTAACTAACATGTTGTTATTTTTAAGGTAATTCAACTCAGTCAAAAGCTATTTGTAAAATACGTAGTTTTTCATAGTCGTATTAACTTTTAAGTCGTATTAGCACAATACGTGATATTTTCTTAACATAATTGAAACACGATTCCAAATTTCAAATTTTTTTAAATATACACAGCAAATGTAACATAGTTTTAGCTCATAATATTATTATAATTTTTAAATAATAATATTTCTTCTTATATTTTTTCTTATTAAAGAGTATTTTGGAAGGGCATTGTTATTTTTCAAAGTAGAACTCTTAACATTCACGATAAAATTTTCTTCGCATTAATTTTAACAAACGTAACATATTGATTCGTCGTAATTAAATAATATATATATTTTTGTTACAGACATTCATTTATTTTCAGTCTTTGCCGTGAGTTAAGTATATGTTTTAGTTGTGTTGGTCACTTCCTACAATATTTCGACTTCTATAGATAGAAATACCAAATAAGTATAAAATTTATCTTTTTGTACACTTGAAGTCGTTCATCATCTGAAAATATTTGTAGTTTCTACCTAAAGCTGGTTAAATCAACGTCAAATTGACGTTATATTGACGTCAAATTGACGTTATATTGACGTCAAATTTCCCTAAAGAAGTATTACTAACCAAACGTAGAAGGCTACTACAATGTGAATGTAGGCGTAGTTTTACCTATTTTTGTCAATAAAATCAAATTTCGACGTCGTCTTATTCTCCACTGTCGAATCCACGTCGAGATAATTTTCCTTAAATATGGTTAAATCTAATTTTGCGACCAAATTTATTATACATATTTTAGGTAGTCTCGACGTCAAATTAAACCAAAATGTTTGCTGGGAAATTTGTGAAACGGGTTAAAAATCATATTGTTTACAAAACTGGTACTATGCAATTATTCTCTTTTTACAAAAATAAACACAGTAATAAAGGCTGAAAATTCACAATTTTCAATTTTAGTTAACTTATGATGGTCGTTTTGTACACAAGTAATCGGGGCGGGGTGTATTAAAAGCAGATACCAAAAGGAGATAAACTCTTGTTAAAATATTTTAAAATTAATTCTTAATACTACACAGGGTGTTTAAAAAAATACTTAATGAATCACTAATTAATATTAATTTAATAAAAATAATAAAACTAGTACATTTGAAGGCAGAAAGCGTTACAAATCATAATAAACTATTTTATTTACAAGACGAGAATATTGAGACTAAAATAATTTACAATTAAGGTGTAACATCCATTAAAATTTTGGATTATCAGTGCTAAAGCGTGTACTTCCACATAACACAGTGTATTTACTAGTTTGTACTGTAGGTCGTCACAATGATGACTGTGGTAAGAGGTACTCGTTTAAGAACTGTGCAAATGACCAAATTTGGTTATAACATAACTTATTTGCTACGCTTATTCTTCTCTAAAATTAGAGTCCAATCTTAATATAATTTTATACCAACCGTGTTCATCATTTTATAATAATAAATAAATAATTACCACATTAGCTACTGTGAGTTAACACCCACCCAGCTGATAGTAATCTCCGTATTCATAACGAAAAATTAATGAGTAATTAAAGTTTATGATTGTCACATCCTAAACTAATTTCGTGTGTTTTTTTTGGTATAATTTACTTAAATTCGAGTAGTTTGTAAGGGAGCTGACTGTTTCTTTATGTTTCTATTTTTAAATAACTTTAGAGTTATAAATAAATAAAAATATTCGTTTCTTTCGGCTAGTAGGGTTGATATTTTTGTGGGTAGAATTATTCTAGTAAAAATAATAATTTAATTTTATAAAATTCTCTAGGAATAAATATAAAGTTTAAAACTAGCAAATTCATCGGAAGGTCTAAGAACACCCCTGTGCATACATTTTCTTGCGCTTAAGATAGAATCCGACGATTTGCGTTTCAAAATTTGTTCGTGTATACCTGTAGGTATATATCGTAAGCTCTAATAAAAAAAAAGCAAAAACAGGTAGCTAGGTAACGGTCACCGTTTAACATATTTTGTTTAAGAGTTTGATTCTCCAGTGGTGAACATATCAGGTAGTTTTTTAGCCGAATACAAAGAATTGGGTCTTAAATATTTTGTAAAGGATTCGAATGTAATAAAGGTATTATGATAATTGATTTTTTTTGTTTAATTGGCAAAAAACTTAGGTAATAAATTTGAACAAATATAGAATCTTGTCAATAAACTGATTTTTCAAGATGTTATACTTATAACTAAATTCTCCTAAGTAGAATTATAAAATATTTATAATTTAATCTACTAAAGATGACTCAGTGCTAAATTTTTAAAAACACTTTTTTTTGTAGTAAAACGCCTCGAAATTTAATTTATATTAAAAACTTGATAGTTCAAAAGACCCCACTGCAATTTTTACCATCATCTGATAACAAAATGAAATAAAGAGAAGGGAGGTCTCCTACTACTAGTAAATGTCTTGGTCACAAAATGATTTCTTTCCTGTATGCATCAAGGTTACATATCTATATTTCATTTGTTTATCTGAGATCACTATCTAACAATGACAATTTATATTTGTTCCAGATTGAAGCTAAAGCATATCTCCAACACATCTCTTAATTAAAGGAAGGTCAATATTTTTAATCCTGAATTCTATTAAATAATCATTCAGATAGTACATAAAAATTTCTTTAAATTAATAAAAAAAAAGTAGCAAAATTGGACGTATAGTCTAAAAAAGCACCTATTTTACATGTTTTCTTATGGAAAAGGAAGCACAATTTTACTAATTGAAAGGGCCTTTTTTCAACTCTCTTGCTTTTTTAAAAAATAGTTTAAACCGTTCAGTATTCCGGCCGACTAAAAGTTTACTTCATACGTTCTACAGTTACTATCGACCATTTACCTAATATCACTGATTCGTGTCGACGTTTTCGTGGTAAGTAAATTTTGAATATTTAATTCAGTTATAAGTTTATATATTAAACTTTTGATTTAAAAAACAATAAAATGTCTGTTGTGGAAAAATTCACTATTGTTAAAGACTATATGAGGAAAATAAGACGTTTTGGACTTCACGGTCGTACCATGAATTTCAGAATTAATCCAATTCCTAGTGACTCAGAACCTGTGGGTTGGATAAAAGATGCTATTACGCAGATTGTTCAGAAGGGTACTGAGGGTGTTGACCCTACCGATAAAGTAGGATTTACATTTTGTTCAAAACAATTTGCTAGAAGTGATGCATGGTTAAGTTTCAAGTCTGCATCGGAAGTGACTATGGATGATGTATGGGAAACCATTTCGTCACTTTATCAGTCAAATACCGCTGAGCTTAATACAGAAACTTTTTGTTTAAGTGTGACATCCGTAAGAATGCCAAGGGGACAAGGCAGAGGACAAGTACGTAATTATAATTCTTTCGACGAAGAATGTGCTAAGCGTAAAGGTATTATAACAATCAATAATAAAGATAGCTTATGTTTACCTCGAGCTCTTTCGGTCGCTATATCATACGTGAATAAATCTCCTGATAAAATCAATGTTCGAAAAAATATTGGTGGGTTGCAGGATAAAAGAACTCGAGAGTTAACACAGGGTGCTAATGTTTCTATACCTGAAGAAGGAGCTGGGATACCTGAACTACAACAGTTTCAGAAGTATTTAAATAATTACAAAATTACTGTGTATACTTATGGTGTAAAAGGACGTGATGTTATTTTTGAAGGCAATGGTGTTGGTCCTTCATTGAATTTAATTCACCATGAGGGACACTACAATGTAATTACGTCACTAACTGCTGCATTTTGTTGTAGTTACTATTGTGAGGATTGTCACGTGCCTTATAATCAAAAACTTGATCATAGATGTGTTGGGACATGTCCTGGTTGTCTACAGTCACCCCCTTGTCTTAACACTGAATCGACCATAAAATGCGATTCATGTAAGAGATCTTTCCGTGGTCAGATATGTCATGACAATCATATTCAATACTGTATTTGTCAAAAATTGCGACGTTGTGAAGATTGTTTCAAAATTGTACCCACTAACAGAACTCATACCTGTGGGGAAATATTTTGCAAGGTATGTAATAAACTACAACCAATAGATCATTTGTGTTATATTCAGCCTGATTTCAAGTCTCCTCCATCCACTGATTTTCTATTTGTCTTTTACGATCTCGAGACGAGACAGGAAAAGATGCAAGCTGATGGTTCCTTTTTACACGAACCTAATCTTTGTATTTTTAATCACCGTTGTCACAGATGTATCCACGAGGTACAGCTGTACTTTTGTCAGTCTTGTGAGTATAGACAAAAAACTCTGATTGGTTCTAATATTATTTCAAATTTCATGGAGCATCTTTTTCAAATCCGTAAAAAATTCAAAAATGTTACTGTTTTGGCCCATAATGGTGGTGGTTACGATCATCACTTTATTCTCAGTTATATTCTTGCACAGACCGATCTTACTCCAGACCTTATTATGAGAGGCACAAAACTAATTTCTATGACTGTTGGTAATATTAAATTCCTAGATTCCTTAAATTACTTTCCTATGGCTCTCTCTAAACTACCCGACGCTTTTGGGTTTTCTGAATTTAAAAAAGGGCACTTTCCACATCTTTTTAACACTGTAGAAAACCAAAATTATGTTGGAGTCATACCTTCTATCGAATTTTATGATCCCAACAGTTTAAAAGAGGAAAACAGAAAAAACCTATTAGAGTGGCATTCCAAAAGAATTGCGGAAAATTATGTGTTTGATTTTCAAAAAGAAATCATTTCCTATTGCATGTCAGATGTTGATATATTGACACAAGCATGTTTAAAATTTAGGCAGCTTTTGTTAGAAGAAACTAGTGTATGCCCATTTATGGAAGCAACAACAATAGCGTCCACTTGTAATAAAGTATATCGACGCAATTTTCTTGAGTCGAACACTATTGGAATAATTCCAAAAAGAGGGTACAGATGGCAGGATAACCAATCCACAATAGCAATCAAGTGGTTGGTTTGGGAAGAAAAACAACGCAATATACACATTAAACATGCAGCTAGAGGAAAGGAAGTCCGGGTGGGCGGGGTGAAGGTTGATGGGTACATCGAGGAAACCAAAGAGATTTTTGAATTTGAAGGATGTTATTACCATGGATGTCCTCGATGCTTTACACATCAAAGAGATGTACCTTTACATGACACACCCTCGGAAACGATGAATTTGCGATATGAGGCTACTGTCGCTAAAAAGGAACGCTTGCGCTCTCTTGGATATAATTTAAATGAAATGTGGGAGTGTGAATTTAAGCATCTAGTTACTGAAAATAAAGAGCTGCGGGAATATACAGAAAATCACCCACTTGTTTTACAAACACCACTCGATCCTAGAAAGGCATTTTATGGAGGACGTACAGGAAACATTTCAGAATATCATAAAACTCAAGACGATGAAAAAATTAAGTACGTTGATGTTTGTTCACTGTATCCATGGGTTTGTAAATATGGACAATTTCCGGTTGGTCATCCAACCGTTTACGTAGGCGATGAATGCCCTTCAATAACCACTGTTTCGGGACTTGTAAAATGTACGGTGTTACCTCCTCGAGACCTTCTTCACCCGGTTCTACCCCAAAAAATGAACAACAAACTCATGTTTGTTCTCTGTAGAGAATGTGGAGAAAACCTCAATTCCGAGGAATGTGTACATTCTGATGAAGAGCGAGCTTTAACTGGTACATGGGTAATAGCAGAGGTTAATAAAGCAATTGAGAAGGGTTATAAACTTATAAAAATGTATGAGGTTTGGTCATATGAAACAATTCAATTTGAAAATAATGTTTCGGGGCTATTTACAAGTATGATGAATAAGTTTATTAAGATAAAACAAGAGTCATCTGATTGGCCAGCAAATTGTCGAACACAAGAAGAAAAGAATCAGTATATTGAAAGGTTTTTCGAACGGGAAAATGTTAAAATGGATTTCTTACAGATCATTGACAACCCCGGACTACGCTCATTAGCTAAACTTATGCTTAATAGCTTCTGGGGCAAATTTGGACAGCGACAGAACCAGTCCCGGACTAGTATTATTAACACGCCTGCAGAATTTTTTGGTATGATGTCCAACCCCTCGTTAATTATAAATACGGTACTTCCTGTAAATGAAACCACAATAATTGTTAATTGGGAGTATAGAGAGGAGGCTTCCGAATCTTTGTCCACAGTCAACGTGGTAATAGCAGCTTTCGTTACTACTTTGGCGCGTCTTAAGTTATATAGTTACCTTGAGAAATTAGAAGATAGAGTTTTGTATTATGATACAGATTCGGTAATATACGTATCACGACCTGAGGCACTCGACATACCAACAGGTGAGTTTATTGGTGATATGACCGATGAACTCGAGAAAGAAGGGTCTGGTTCGTATATAACTGAATTTGTGTCAGGTGGGCCTAAAAACTATGCCTACAAAGTATGGTCTACTAAAGATCAAGATTTTAAGATTACTTGTAAAGTTAAGGGTATATCTTTAAATCATTCTGCTTCTCAAAAAATTAATTTTAATTCCATCAAAAGGATGGTTTTGAACCCTGGTGACCCCATTCAAATAATTTCTAAACAGATTAGGCGGACGAAAGAGCACGAAATAATTACGAAAGAAACTGTTAAAAAATATGAACCTAAATCCACAAAACGAAAGTTTCTGTCTGATCATAGTTCAGTACCTTTTGGATATAAAAAGTCAAAAATGTAATTTTTACTTTCACGGCGTAACATTTATTACAACACAAAACTATCGTATTCAAGTTAAATGAAATTCTAAATCTCCATATACCTTCGTCTTATGAATGATAACTTCTATGGATTTACAAACGTTTTTAGATATTTTATAGCAAAATTATTAAATCTATTGCTTATTCGATTTAAACAGATACATTATAGAAAAATATTTTACGACTTAATAAATTGCCTTCATGAAATACACTTTTCGTATGGTTGATTAAGTCCCAAGAATAGAGAATAATTTGAAATATGTGTGAAAAAAAGCCTCAGTGATAATTTCGTTTGGCGAAGACCTGACACTTTTAAGTCCATTGGAAAAGAAATTATTCACGTACAGGTAAATCTTAAGGCACAAAAATATTCTCAAGTGGCGAAGTTTAAAATACCCTCGAATTATGTTTAGAAAGCTGGAATATTCAATAAATAAACACGAAGAATAGTTTACCAGATAAGTGTCATTATTATTGTATATTTTTATAGATGTCTTTGTTTAAGTAGTAAAGCAATGCTGTTTAAGGGTTTAATATTCAATCATTAATGGTAGGCCTGCGGCTATCTTTATATGTTAAGGATATTTTCTTTGGCATATAAAGATTTCTGTCGGGGATTCCTAAGGTTTATAAGCCTTTAAAACGAGACCACAAACACCTACAATAATCTAGTATTGAATTATTGCCTCCTGGGTTGGTCATGGAAAAAGGTGTTATATAAAAACATTACCGTTGTATCTGGTGTTTTCTTGAATACACTAGCTATTTGAATTATTTTGAGAACGCTTTTTGTCTAAATGAAATAAAATTATATTATAGGTTTCAGTAAAATCTTTTACTTATTGTGAGAGATAAATATAATAACATTATATAATGAGGTAGATATATAGAAATTACCATTACAAAATGAAAAAGATGGTATACCCAAGACATTATTTCCCTGAAAATTCTTAAAGAAAAAAATATATATTATATTATGTAATATTATACCAATAACATAACTATTTAGGGTAATGTATGTGTTGTTATTAAAAAATTTCTGTTTTTTAAAAAAAATTAATTTTATTCCCCCATTAGAGTTTTTAGGTGTAAACATTCAAAGACTCATTTAACTCTTTATATTAGCCCATATATTTATTACACAATACACATATCGCACCCCTGATTCAATAGTGCCATAACCTTATAAATGTTAATTTTACAGAAGCGAAACAAAAAACGATTGTGGAAGTAATATTTTTTTGAGCAGCATTTTCAGTACTTGTGCTTATCAAATTCGGTATACATATTGATTAAAGATGTCTCTACTGAATAATGATACATGTAATGTAATGTGAAATGTACACAGATAAGCCTAAAACAAAAAAAATGTTATGTGATATAGCAGTACTGTTGATGGTGCCTCGCGCGGAATTTATTAGAACTATTGATGTGGCACTTTATATATTGTAGACGTGTTCATAATGTATACTGATCAAAAAAAGTCAATTTAATTTTTTAGGGAATGGCCCTATTGAAAAAGGGGTGCGATATTTTAAATTAACTATATTTACATAAATAACACGTTTTTATAATCTAAAAACAACATTTTATGTATTTCTAGATAGGTCTATTTCTAGTAAGTCTTCAATCTGTGTTAGGTTGTTTTTAAACTGGATTATCGGATCTTTAAATAGCCATCAAATCGTCTTCAGGTAGTATTCAAGCAGTATTTAGCTAGTATTCAAGTAGTATTCAGGTGGTATTCGAGTAGTATTCAAATAGTATTCAAATAGTATTCAAATAGTATTCAAATAGTATTCAAATAGTATTCAAATAGTATTCAAATAGTATTCAAATAGTATTCAAATAGTATTCAAGTAGTATTCAAATAGTATTCAAGTAGTATTCAAGTAGTATTCAAATAGTATTCAAGTAGTATTTAAGTAGAATTCAACTAGTATTTAGCTAGTATTTATGCGATACCACTTGTCTACCTAATGAAACAGAAAAGTAGTATGTTACTATTCACTTTGAATTATTTTTAATCGTACCATACCCTGTATACCTATAAATTAATGTAATTCGGTTTTATTTTCAACATAATTTTTAGCATTGAAATTTATAAGCATATTCTACGACCCATTTAATCTACTAATAGCAATTATGTATTATATAGATTTACCACAACTATACACTGAAATTTGGTTACCTAAATATGTACTGCTATCTATATTCTGTAATTGTGAACCCCAATATTTTGGTCATGAGGCACCACTGTACTTTATTCATTCTGTATTGTGTCGGCACTGCAGAAAGTGGCTTCTTGTAACACCATTTAAGGTCCCACTACTTTCCATTTTCCCAGATTCACCCCTCATTTATCGTCATTTATTTCACGCTAATCGGCTAAGTTCCATGGTGTTGCGTCCCTTGGTGGAACGCCCTCCAGTGGTCGCGCATCCCCAGCGTGACCGGAAAGACAACGACTTAACTGTTGCGAGAATGTGGATGCACACTAATCTTGCAACTGTCCGGCATTCTTCAATAATACGCTCGTGACTAGAGGTGGGTTCGGGCTGCGCACTCTAGAGTGAAGTGGAGTAAGTAGGCGTAAACGGAGTGCGCATATGGCTTTACTCCTTTTACTCTCAGAGTTCAATGTCAGTTGTCAATGTGACATACTAATACTTAAAACCTAATCGTACTTATTAGTAACAACCGTATAAGTTTTTTCCATATTAATGGTATGCACGGGAATCAAATAAAAAGCATTTTTACTTAAGAATTAGTCACAATTATCTTATTATCGATTTAAATCACCTTATGCGCATGCCCGATCCACACTCCACTCCACGATCTCCGAACGGTCAAAGAGGAACTTTTATTTTAACTCCTTCCGTACCCGAACGCCTTAGGTACTTTAGGAGTGAATATAGTGAAAAGAGTGCGTAGACCGAACTCACCTTAGATTGATGTTACCAGTTAACGAAAAATAAACTCAATAACTAGAACAGTAATCCCAATATAGGGTCAATGACCTATTTGACAAAAGTCGATAATTAAGTTGTCGTATAAGTAACTAAATACATACATTCTTGTCTAACCAGATCATGTGTCGATGTATTTTGAATTTTTTGAATGTTTGTAGTCGCACCATACCCCATATACTTATAATTTAATGTACTTCAGTTTAATTCTCACCAGAGTTTAACATTGGTATTCATAAGTATATTCATAAAATCCAAATTAATAACAAATATTTATTGCATTAGCTGCAGTGATCTCATTTCATATTTAAAACACATGGCTACGAACACGTATATCTATTCAAGCAATTAATTCAAATGTCGTCTCACTATTAGTTATGACCCTTACGAGCCGAGCCCTTTTACCTGGAATCAGATACCTCTTCTTCAACCGCGGTGTGATATTTACAATACTAGCCGCTTTGTTCGAAGCCGCGTTATATTTACCATCATTTAGCGAATTAAATAATTATTAATGATTAACACGTTATTAATGATTGATAGGTAATTAATGATTGATAGGTAATTAATGATTGACAGGTCATTAATTATAGACAAGGTAATTAATGATTGACAGGTAATTAAAATGATTAATGACCTTTGGCGGCATCATTGTCGGCATCATCAAAGGAAAATTTGGTTCCCAGGCCAAGGTGCCCCATTACCTACTAATAAGTTTAAGAATATACACTTAATTCCTCAGAATAATCGTTTTCTGAGTAATTGATATCGGAATAGAGAATCCGGGACAGATGATCCCCCGTACATTTGCTCCCCCGATACATTTGAGCCCCTGTCTTGATTATTCGAATAATGATAAAATTTAAGTGAGATAGTTGCGACCCTACCCCTATTAATCCCAAACAGAAGTAGATTTTTTGGTTTACTGATATATACAGGGTGTTTCAGAGTTAAAAGTACATACGTTAACTGTAAGTGTAACACACTTGGATGATTTGAAATCACCTATTAATAATAAATTTATTAATTTCGCCTGGATTTTTATTGCATCCTGTCTTTATAATACTTTTTAAAAAGAATAAATAGATGTTAATTAAAATTAAAAAAAAATAGTTAGCAATTTTACATTTTATATTACCTTAACTGCAATTGAGCCATTGTTTCCATAGTTAAGCATGATTGCTATTTACTGTCAAATAGGTAAGATAGAAATATTTCTGTTTGAAATAAAGTAAAAAATAATTGTTTCTAAAATAAAAATTAGGTTGCTAGGCAACACATTAAAGTATCTGATACTGTTATGTTCCATTTCCCGGAAGTAAATGAGTTCAAAATTGAAATGTGTCACACCTTGCACAGATACTAAATGCAACCAAACATTTCCACATTTTGTCAACATTTTATATACTATATATTTACTCATTAAAAGGATTAAATCAAGTAATAGCTTTTTATATTCTTGGTAATATTAAAATCAATCATGGGTATTAGTATTATTACATAATCTATCAAAAGATTTAAAGTAACCCTAATTATATTTATATAAACAAGCTATTAAAAAAATAAAAAAAAAAACAAAAAAAAATAAAATATTAAAAAAAATAAAAAAAAAACATATCTATTTTGACAGTTCTCAGCCTATAAAAAGTATGAAGGGAAGTTATATAATGTCAGTAAACCAAACAAAAATTTTTCTGTCCAGCAAATCTACTTATAGTTTCTTTTAAAGATAATTGTTGCTTTTTCACAATTAAATATCAGTATTACTAATAAATATATTTCTCATTTGCTCCGGGAAATGGAACTTAACAGTTTCAGATACTGTAATGTGTTGCCTAGCAACAATTACTTTTTACTTTATTTCAAACATCTATTTATTCTGTTTAGAAAATATTAAAAAGACAAGATGAAATAAAAATCCAGGAGAAATTTATAAATTCATTCTAGGTAATGAGACGTGATATTATTAATGGGTGATTTCGAATCATCCAAGTATCTTACACTTACAGTTA